GCTGTAGAATGTAGATTGACAACTACTTCCATTCCCAATTATGAGTTTGTATTAACCAAGGTTTATTGATGTGCGAAGATTATTGTGGCACGTGGATGAAGGGATCAAAGAGATTACGGTAGATCATGTTCAACAAAAAATGTCCAAAATTGGATTGTCACACAATCAAGATTGGTATGCAATTATAAGTTTGTGTTTTTATCTTTTCTTTCATTAATGATAGGGTAAAGAGTAAGTTTGACTCTTTAATTATAGAGAGTCAAATTAGACTATCTATTTTGTTTACTTTGTATAGAAACCTTATTGAAAATGGATTTTGGAGAGTCAACTTTCTAACATAGAGAGTCTACTAAAGATGCGCTTATTGATTGTTGCGAGGATATATCCTATACAACATAATACTAACAGAAAATTAAGAGTCTAACTGACAAATGAAATTTACCCCAAAAAAGTAAGGTTGGATCACACCTACACCCACACCCATACTCGATCTTGGCAATGTCAGGGAGCAGGCGACATGCATGGGTTGAACCGAAAACCATCTAAATCATCTCCCGTCCATAAAAGTGGGGTGCCATTTGGGGCCCAACTCCTAGAGCAAACTAGGAGTATATATACTCACTTAAAAAATTTGTCCAACCAATGTGGGATTAATTTTAAATTTTATATGTTATAATCTCTATTTTTACATTTCAAGTACGTCACTTTGAAACCTATTTTTTGATTCTCGATTTACGTAGTTCCGTTAAACTATTCATGAAGTACAATACAAACCCATAAAAATTTAATCAAAATGATGAGTGATTTGATTTATAGTGAATAAAAATAAAACCACATAATTCAATGGATAAAGTGACATAATTTTCTACCTTATTTATACCAGATATTGATGCAATTTAAACAATATAAAATCAATAATCGTAGTTTGAGTTATAATATTAGAAATATATAATTGTTAAGGGGAACAATGAGTCTGAGGCATAATTCAGAGGTATAAAGTATAATTTCTCATATTCTTTCCTTTTCTAGTTGCTAGGCATGTAAATCGGTCAGATTTTGATATGAATTCAAATTCAATTAGTCGGATATGAATTAATATTTTTTTATTGATAATTTGAATTCGAATCCGAATCTGAATCCAAAATCTTATATTTTACGGATTCGAATTTAGCCACGGGTCCTACCTATGAAACCCTTCGATGAACTCGATCACACAAATTAGTCCTCCAACTCTGCAGTCAAGTTTAGAATAGGGGTGTAACTTGGGTTGGGTAACCCGAATTCAACCCGAAAAAAGACGGGCTTGGACTAGAGTTTTTAAAACTTGGGTTGGGCTTGGGTTGAAAAATGTTAACCCGAATTTAATTTGGGCGGACCTCGGGTTGACCCATCGGGTTACCGGGTTGAACCCGAATATTAAAAACCCTATAAATACATTTTCCAATTTTAGGGTTAATTTGTGATTCTGTTCAGCCTCCCTCACTCGATCGATCTCAGTCCGCCTCCCTCACTCGATCGATCTTAGTCCGCCTCCCTCACTCGATCTCAATCTGCCTCCCTCAGTTTCACTCGATCTCAGTCCGCCTCCCTCACTCGATCTCAGTCTGCCTCCCTCAGCTTCACTCGATCTCACTCGATCTCAGTCACTCGATCTCAGTCCGCCTCCCTCAGTCTCACTCGATCTCAGTCCGCCTCCCTCAGTCCCACTCTCAGATCCTCTCTCAGCCAGTTTTTCGCCTCCCTCAGTCCCACTCTCAGATCCCTTTCTCAGCTAGTCTCAGCCAGCCTCCTCTCTCTCTCAGACATTGTCAGCTCAATCGACTCTCCCTTCATCTCAATCGACTCTTCCTTCATCTCAATCGAAAAAAATCAAATCTACACTTGAAAAGAGATCTCATCTCAGAGCAGATCTATCGTCTACCGTCATCTCAGATCAGATCAGGTATGGTCGATATTTAGACTTCTTTTCACTCTCGATATTTTGTTCAGAGCTAATAAAACTAATCATGCTCGATAATAGAAAACACTCTCAGTCTCAGATGCAATTTTTTCAGATTTTATTCAGAGCTAATCAATGTTCATTTTTTCTTTTTATCATTTTGCTAGTTCATTTTTCCATTTGATCATTTTGCTAATTGATCATTTTTCTGTTTCATTATGCTAGTTCAGATATTGAAAAGGTACATGTCACTAATGGGGGAGACGGAGACAAATACTGAATCTATGGCTAATCCTGCATCTGAGCCTACTATTGGTAACCTTGATGAGGGGAACTCTGTAAGTCCCACCAAACGCCGAAAAACTTATGTTGAAAAATCTGATGTTTGGCTTGATTTCACAAAAATTAAAAAAGAAGATGGGTCAAAACCTGATGAAGTGCAATTCAACCATTGCAAAAAGAAGTTTCATTATGCTAGTTCACAAGGAACTAGTACAATTCGGCGACACTTATTCAAGTGTTCGAAATGTGAAAAGAATAAAGATGCTACTCAAAAATTGATTAAATTTTCATCTGCTAGTGGTCCTTCTAGTAATATTAGTAATTGAAAATTTGAACAAGAATCTGTTCGGAAAGAAATTGCTCGAATGATAATTACTGATGAAATGCCTTTTAGTGTTGTGGAGAAAGAAGGTTTTAAAAGGGTTCTTAATGCATTGCAACCAAGGTTTAATTTGGTGTCAAGAACTACGATCACCAAAGATTGCATCAATATTTATGAAACTGAAAGGAAAAAATTGAGATTTATCTTTGAATCCTCTGCATCACGTGTTTGTCTCACTACTGATTTATGGACTTCCATTCAAAACCTGGGGTATATTTGTCTCACCGCGCATTACATTGACAAAGAATGAATTTCACAAAAGAGAATCATCAACTTCCGTGTGCTTCCAACCCCACATCGTGGTGAAATTATTGCACAATCTGTGGAGACTTGTTTATTGGGATGGAGGATTGATAAAGTGAATACATTGACTGTAGATAATGCAAGTTCTAATGATGTCGCAACCACATCTTTGAAAAAGAGGTTGGCCAAACGCAATGGGTTGTTGTTAGATGGTAGTCTGCTTCATGTTAGGTGTTTTGGGCATGTTTTGAATTTAATTGTGAATGATGGAATTGATGAAGTTAATAGTGCTATTGTTCGCATTCGTGATGGTGTGAAATATGTTAGGAGTTCCCCTTCCCGCTATCAACTGTTTAGGAAATGTGTGGATATTGAGAAGATTTCATACAAGAAATCTTTGTGTTTGGATGTCCCAACACGGTGGAACTCTACTTTTTATATGCTCGACACCGCTCTTGAGTACCAAAAAGCTTTTGACCGGTTGGAAGAGCAAGATAGAAGTTTCACACTTGAACTTAAGAATGGGACTCCTACTGATGATGATTGGTTGGCAGCAAAGAACTTGCATAAATTTTTGGAACAATTTTATCTTATTACAAAGCGTGTGTCTGGGTCACAATATGTCACTGCTAACATTTATTTTCATGAAATGATGAGGATCCATGTATTATTACATAAATCTTTGAGTAGTGACAATGTATTCTTTCGTGAGATGTCAAGAAAAATGATATTGAAATTTAAGAAGTATTGTGATCGTGACAAAATTAATCCATTGTTGCTTATTGCGGTAGTGTTGGATCCTTATTACAAGTTGACGTTTTTGAGATATAAACTTTCCAAAGTTTATACTTGTGATGAGGTTGATGAGTTCATTGAAAAGGTGAAAGTTACGTTGGATAAATTGTATGAACACTACTCATCGGTTGAATTAGCTTCATTAAAGAATGTTGATGCGTCACAAGAAGGCATTAATGTTGGAAAAGATATTTCAGAGGATCCAAATGTTGTACTTGATGATGATGTAGTGGATTGGGGTAAGTTCTTAGAAATTGAGCAAACCAAAGACCTTAAATCGGAGTTAGAACGTTACTTGGACGATGCCGTTGAGTTTGGGAATGGATCAAGACAGACTTCGATATTTTGAAATGGTGGAAAGAAAAAGCCTCTTCATATCGTGTTCTTTCTCGCATGACACGTGATATTTTTGCAATTCCTATATCAACCGTGGCTTCGGAGTCCGCTTTTAGCACGGGAGGTCGTGTGCTTGATCCATTTCGTAGTTCTTTAACTCCAAAGATTGTTGAGAGTTTGATTTGTACCCAAGATTGACTAAAGAGCTATTCATCCACTGTTAAAATGGAAGAAAAGCTAGAAGATATGGAAGAGATGGATAAAGGTATGTTTGTAACATATTGTCATATTCTATTTATATGATCTCTTTGTCTTTTTTAAACATCTTGCACTTCTCTATTTTTCTAGTGTTCGTGGATGATAGTGCAAATTCGAGTGTTGGAGAGTCATCTGTTTTGCTTCATGGATGATAATGGCTATGCAGTGGTTGAAGTGGGCAGTGGTTGTGCTATGGTAGCAGTGGCAGCAGTGGACTGGAAGCAATGGCAGCTGTTGTGTCATTAGGCATTGGGCAGGGGCAGCTTTCCTTAATTCTGTTTGTGTTAAATAATTGTTTGTGTTTGTGTTCTGTTTAAATTAAAGTGTCAGTAGTTTGTATTCTGTTTAAATTATAGTAGCATCAATTTGTGTTTTGTTTAAATAACACTGGCAGTAGTGGGCAGTGGCAGCCCCTTGCACCGTTGTGCAAGGATTATGTTTATTTATGTTAAACTGTTGTGCCTGGATTCTAGTTATAGTTGCATTATTTCTCCATTGAGTTCTTAATATTATGATTTTAATGTTAAAAATTTGATTGAAGTAACCCAAAATAAGTCCGTAAAATAATCCGAATTCAACCCGACTCCGCCCGAATTAAACTTGGGCAGTACTCGGGTTAAATTTTTCAACCCGAGATAGGTGAAATTAGAATTGATTATCCAACCCGTCCAAGTTGCCCCCTTGTTTAGAATAGAACCACCGAGCTAAACACCTGCTCTCTAAACCCCTCATTTGACTGTGTATTGCTCTCTCTCTCTCTCGAAAATGGCACTGTTCTTCAAACGGCTGGCCAAAGCTGCACCGATCACATTCGCTCACGGATTTCGAGGCCAATCCAAGTCGAGTTTCACCAACTCTCGACTCCCCTTAGGAGCAATTGCTGCGATTTCTGGTGGAATCTCGTACTACTACTTCTTTCCTTCGCCAAATTTGGTAATTTTTCCTGTGTATTGTTTTTTGTTGGAAATGCAATGTAGGGCATTGATATTTTATTGGATCAATACGATTATCAATGTTCTGCTTGTGAATACTATATTGGTATTTTGGGTTGCTGAAATCGAGATGCTTGTGTTTAGGGTTTTTGAACGCTTGATAAATTGGGTGGGTTTGGAATAATTTGAATTTTTTTTTGGTCATAAAATAATTTGAATTGAAAGGAGTGGATTTTGTATTCTCAAATGTTGCGTAATTGGAACCGGTTAGAAATTAGTTATAATGGTTATCTAATTTACCCTTCTCGTAGATTGAGAACTAAAACAATCTATTTTTGTTCGCAAATACAGGTTTATTTAGAGCATATACATGAAGAAAGTGGTCCGAAAGTTGGTGGGTCTCTCTCTCTCTCTCGCTTAATGAATTGCATTAGGATCCAGGATTACATGTGATTGCAGTGATATATCATGCTTATGATAGTTCCACTCAATTTCTTATATAAATGTGTTATCAACTCATTCCATGACCCCGAAAAAAAAAAACTCATTCCATTTCGTGCTCTTTTTCTTTCTCTCTCTCTCTCTCTCTCTCACACACACACACACACACACACCAGAGCTACATTGCCTGAGTCACTTCGTGGAATTTAGATAAGTTCTATGGCACTGTAAAGTCTAAGCTGAATGCCGTAGACTTTCCACTATAATTGATCTTGATGCATTCTTAGCTCAAGTTCTGATTTTGTGTATTTCCAGCTCTCAATCCTGATAAATGGATTGAATTTGAGCTGCAAGATAAAGCGAAGGTCAGCCACAATAGTCAGCTGTTCAGGTCATTCTCTTGTCTTAATGATTTTCCAAATGTTATTGATTTTTTTCACTAATTGGTTTATAGTAAAACAACTTAGTCATGTCATATACTGTCTTACCTTGGAAAACCGATTTTTTTTGCTTGTTTTAGCGATGCTATTAGTAGCTGAGTTTTTTCAGGGGTGTATGTCTCTTTAAAACGGAATGGTAAAGTTGCCTGACACGTGGAGAACAAAACTTTTTATGTTTCTTTTTATATCTTCAGAGAGTTCTCATAAGCAGGGATAGAAAAGTACTATGATTCATGTGCAATGATTTGTGGCATGTTTTGTTATTGTTTTGTAATTGATTACTTGTGGACTGGGGTAGGTTCGGCGGAAGTTTACATTCTATTTTGTCTATGTAATTTTCTTAAGGCTGATACAATTAATTAGGGTTTGATTCCTTCCTATTTTCAGTAATTACAATATCGTATAGATTGTATATCAGATGCCTATGCATTGCTAGGATACATTCGGTTAGGTTTCCTTTTCAACTGGCTTATAATTCTTAACCCTGTATCTATTATCTAGTGAACCAGTCAATGTCCCCAGCTAAGGAATAGGCGTGAAAATAGCTCAAACAAATAAAATTAGAATAAATTTTCTTACTTGAGATTGTGTAATCTTTCCTTTAGCAAATGAAGATTAATGGTATTTATAGTAGTAAAATGAAAAACAATATAGATACACTCTATAATATACAAATGCATATTGATGGATGTCGATATATTTATAAGAAGTTACAGTCATCATATGTGGTGGTTGGGGAAATTTAAGAGAAATAAAACTGACAAAAAAAAAAACTTCAAACCAATTTGTTGGATAATAACACCATGGTGAGGAAGTGATTTCCCATTGACAAGCAGACAGCAGTAGCATCCTATAATTACCAGAATTCTTGTGTTGCATACCTCCAGTAATGAAACTATATATGGATCGAAGAAATGGACCTTTTATTATTCCAAGTACAGATTGCTGATTTCATCATAAAAAATGATTGAAATCAGATGGTATTTCATTAAATAACTCAGCCTAGCTCAACAATCGTTTTTGGTTGCAACACTAATTGGTTGCTTAGAAGAGGAGTGATAATAGTTACAGAGAGTGGAGCTGGAAAAACATGTGAGTGGTTTATCATCTCCTTGATGCAACAAATGCTGGATTGTTTCAGATGTAGCCTGCGATGAACCATTAGAGATAAAAATTATTTAAATTTGAATGAGGACAGAACTTGAAGGGACTAATTCAAATTGTATTTACTGGCTATAGCTCGTTACAGGGAGGTGAAAACAATGGATAATCATTAAGAACCTAGGTAGATGCATTTGGTATTTAGGTGTAGCCTTACGAAAGTAAATTGAGAAAAGAGGGGCAAAAAGCCAAAGGCAGAGAAGAATGATGCACTGAGGTTTTTTTATTAGGTAGTGGTAGTCAATGTTCTACACATTGGAAAAGGGTATCTATTATTTTTTCCGTCAAATGTTTTGTTGTGCTTCTGTTGAGGTATGTAAATTTTCGCTAATGGGTTGTGATGAACCCTCCAAAACCTCAACTAATTTGTTTGATGGATTGGCTAGTTAGGTTTCAGTTAAGATGATCATTTTTAGTGGTTAATGAAAGGGGTTTTATCTTGTCAGTCTAATTGTACCACATTTAATTAGATGTAGAAGATAAGTGGGTGTTTTAAAATCCCATGGATATTAACAGATCCAAAAATGATACAAATTATCAAAATGGAAGAGAAATAAGGTTGTACGTTGAAATCAAAAAATGCCCCTATTAAGATGTCGAAAGGAATTATGTACAGTCAGTCCACTAAAAGAACATCAAATTTCTATATGTAAAATGCTCGATGAATTTTGATTCTGTTTAAATCAGAGTTGAAATCTCAACGTTTTAAGGTTTAGAATATAATAGAGGATTCAAGAAAGAAGATGGGAGAAAAAAGATATTAGAGATTAGGGTTAAAGAGAGTGAGAGTTCACTTATATTTATATTAACTCATAATAAGTTACAAATTACAATAATATCCTTAATTAAAATAACCTGACATTTTACACTCCACTTAAGTTGGAGCATAAATATCTTTCATGCTCAACTTGCATACATCTGAATGAAAAATTCTACTACTAAACTCATTAGCAAACACATCGGTTAATTGTTCCTTGGACGTCAAAAATGGCCTAAAAGTCAACCATTATTTAGTCTCTCTTCAATGAAGTATTAGTCAATCTCAATATGCTTTGTCTTGTCATGCTCAACTGGGTTGTAAGCAATATTTATGGTCGTCTTATTATCACAATACATGCGCATAGATTCACCATTAGAGATACCCAAGTCTTCCATTAAAGTTTTCAATTACATAAGCTCACAAATACCATGAGCATAACCTTGTATTCTGCTTCTGTATTAGATCTAGCTGTCATTGCTTGCTTTTTGCTCCGTTAAGTAATTAGATTTCCTCCTTCAAAGGTACAGTAACCTGTAGTGGAGCTCCTATCATCAATTGAGTCTGCTCTATCTGTATATGTGGAAGCTTCTAATCTCAGATGATGTTGCTTTGAGAACAATATTCATTTTCCTAGAGATGATTTGATATACCTCATTAAGGAAAAGAAAAACTCAGATTATTTTTAGAGCTCTCATTTCTTCTGTCATAGCTACGTTTCACTTGGGCTCTGCAAGGGCTTTATTCCAACTCTGAGAAAACGTTGTAAGAAACAAATTTAAAAATAGAATATTGAGTACAAGTCCGAACTCCTTTTCGAATAATAATAGATAAAGAATTATCATCGACATGATTACTGCAAAGAGTTATGAAGCACGGATACTTCGTTGAGGTCAACATATTTGTATCGGATACTTGATGATACGTATTGAAGACACACCAAACGTATCCAAAAATAAATAAAATATATGGATATTTCGCGGATATTTCTATATGCATAGAAGTATGTGTAATTATTTTTAATCTTTACCTCTTTCTTTCTATTTTCACATATAATACAATACATCAACAACAATCCATATGACTTTGAAGACACATGGATATTTTTCAAGTATTATTCATTATCACATATCCAAAGAGTATAAATGAGTTGATTACACTATAATATTAGCAACAAACAGTTGTAAACAAACAATCTAGTTAAATATTGGTTCTTATTCCTTTAATTAGTCACGTTCACTTTGTAAATTTACTGTAGTGAGATAATATATGAATTTTTAAAATAAAGAATTGTTAATGTTGTTTATTATTGTTGGTGTTGTTTATTATTGTTAAAGAATCATTAAAAATTATAGCTATCAATTCATTACAAGTTATTACATAATATTATAAATATAAGATATATAAGTTTTTAAAGACGTATCCTGGTCGTACCTTGTATCATCTTTTTTGGAGTTTCATCGTATCGTCGTATTCATATCATATCGTACCCATATCTTATATCTATATCCATATTTCCTAGACAAAGAGGCTCATTACCTGATTTAAGGGAAGAGATCTCAAGAATTGAGTCTAGAGATGATGACTGATTTAGTGGCTTATGGGTGGTGATCTGCATAGTTTGTTATTGAGTATAGCATCGCAAATCATCCCTTTCTAATCTTCCACAATTAGTTTGCACCAGCCAAGCCGAGATTCAAAACACCCAAAAAAACCGATGGGTTGTGCACAAAACTCTACCAGAGTTCTTATAAACCCACATGTTGCATTGGAGAATGTAGAATAATCCCAATCTTGGCAAAAAAATAGATCGCAAAAAATGACCGAAAAATTCTGAAAAAATTCAAAAATTGAAAAAATACCTCAGATGGCTTCAAAAATTTTCAGAAAAATCACTATCATGCTCGGGAGGAAAAACTGAGCTAGGTCATATTTTGATTGGTTTTGGTGATGACATCATCATTCTGGTGATGACATCAGCGACCCAACAGATTCCCAAAGCCTTCTTGAGTGCTCTAGTGACTTCAAATTTCAGATAGATCGCTTTGATACCAAGTTGAAATCTCAAGATGGTAAGGTTTTAGGGTTTTGAATGTAGAGGAGGCAAGAAAGAAGAAGAGGAAAGAGAGATATTAGAAATTATGGTTAAGATGAGTGAGAGTTGACTAATCTCTCCTCTCCTCTCATCACTCATATTTATATTAATTCATAAAAAGCTACAAATTACAATAATACGCTTAATTAAAATAACCTTATTCTACAATCAGAATGCAATGTTGCTTTTATGGGTTGGTAATGTTTCAAAGTAGACTTAAAGATATTCATTTGGTCACTTAACTAATATTTCCCCCATAAATTACAGGTTTTCATTTGATCCCGCTGCCAAGTTGGGCCTTGATGTGGCATCATGCTTAATTACAAGGTACATTCTACAATATTGAATATAGGATACTTTTCTAGATTCTATTATTTCAAAGAAAGTTCAATTTTTTGAAAATATGGGGCTTGTATGATTAAATTTCTAAAACATGTCAGTGATTATTTGCATCATCGTGATTTGTTCTTTTCTGATTTTAGGGCGCCAATAGGCCAAGATGCTGATGGAAAAATGAAATACGTTATTCGCCCGTAAGTCATTCTGTTTGAAATCCAGCATGCTTTATCTGAATTATTTTGGTTGCTTGAGTTAGTAAAAGGTTTACATTTACTTGTTAGATAAATTCTTGTTGAGTCACATTTCTCATTTTAAAGGCTTATTACTTATTAGATTTGGTAGCATTTGTGGACTTGTTTTGGATTACCTTTTTCATGCTCCGGTTTTTTTATTCCTGCCAATTCACTCTTTTATAGCCTGCCAGCTGCCAGTTCACCTCATTTGGCCTTTTTTTTTTTTAATCTTTTTAACAGACTACTGCCGATTTCTTCTAGAAAGAAATGAGAGACCCTGATCTACGATCTCAGCACTACCATGTGCAACATTATTAAAGTTAGAAGAATTAAGTTGATTTCCTGCTTACTGCTCAAGGATCATAACAACATAGACAATGCAGGGGGAAACTTTTATTTAGAGTGAATTTGTCCAGATAGTTCTTAATCTCTTCAGCAGTTGTCATAATATGCTCTTGCCATTATCTTACATTCCTTGTGTCGTCTAAGGGCTGTAAACCAGATGGACAATTTTTTTTTCAGTAGAAGACCAGGGGGTGAAATTATATTAATTAGGTGCTCAAAGTTATTTTAGAGGAGTAAAATCAGCTTTACATGTTGAAGTATGAAGCTGTACGAACCAAAAGACCAAGCTGCTTCAAGTGTCCCAAGTAATTGCAAACTTGATGCTTAGATAGAATGACTGAATTTTTTTCTCCATGCATTATTCTTCCCGAGTCATTGGGATTTTTTAACCCCCTTTCGATCAATGATGAATTGTCTTAAGATATTAGATTTCACTTATATCTGGAGAGAGCTAGCCATCCTAGAATTTGAGACTCTAATCCTTCTGAGTCTGTGACACCATGAATTCCAAACTCTGAGAAACTAGGTCTTTTATGAGATTTTTAGTGGAAGTGAGAATTTTGGTGGAAGTTTATGTAACATTTGGATGGTTTATTCGCTATTAGTAGAGTGTTATTTTCCTATTGTTCTACTTTCCTATTTTGTCTATACTTTCCTAACGTTGTAATTGTCTTCAATATCAATCTAATATAAATAGGGTGTCTTCAATTCAATATCAATGAATAAATTGTATGTTAGGATAAAGGAAAAGAAAGAAGAAAAAGAAAGAAAGCAAGAAAGTATGAAATAATATTGTGTGTAGGGTTTGGGTTATCAACGCCCTATCACTTATTTATATTAGATTGGTATTGAAGACAAATACAATATTAGGAAAGTAGGACATAAAAGGTAAACAAAACAATAGTAAAGTGACATAATTGGAAAGTTACATATTTGGAAAATAGAATAATAGGAAAGTAATATTCTAACACTCCCCCTTTATGCTCTAGAGATAAAAAGTGGTCAGTTTGGGATAAAGACTCATAAAGGTGGACGAAGCCACTGGGTTGGTGAGAAAATTATTGAGTTGACTACAATATCTCTACGTAGAAAATAAGGAGTATAAAATTAAACTCTAGGTGACTACTTCAAACCATTTTGGAAGTTCTTTAATTGACACACTACCACTTTCCCTGAGCAACAAACCTGGGTGGTTGCTCCTTGTGAAATTTAATATATTTATTTGGTTTTCTAAAGAAGCAATTACTGACCACACTAAAACAAGCTATAGCAAACCACGATCACGACACTGGAAAAGAACATGGTGATAACAAATGACAAACCCTATAACACTAGTACCATGTTGTCTCTTATCAAAAAAACAAAAACAGTACCACCAACAATAATACTGGCACAAACAAACACAACCAACAACACCACACGTCCACAGTGAACCATAGGCAACAACAAATTAACTGCGACAATAAAAATAAGGTAAATCAAGAGGAAACGAAGTTGAATTAACCAAAAAAAGGTTGAACTGATAATGAAAGCCACAAAACCAACATTGAATTGGGATGAAAACTCTAAAATTGTCATCAAACTAGGTTGAAAACACCTGAGTCGAACGGCCCTGACCTAAATCAGGATGAAAACTACTAAAGCTATACCAAAATGTGTTGAGAAATACTAAACTGACACTAAATCGGGTTGATAACATCGAATTGGAATTGAATTAGGATGTAAACTACTAAACTAGCACCAAAATTATGCCAAAAACTATTGAACCACACTAAATCGGGTTAAAAAAGACTAAATCAAAATTTAATTGGGATGAAGACCTTTAAACTAGCACCAACTTGACTTGAAAACCACTGAACCCACACTACAATAAATTGGAATTTAACTGAGATGAAAACCCCTAAACTAGCTCCAAATTGTGCCGAAAACCACTAAACTAACACAGTAACACTAAACCGGGCTGAAGACGTTAGACTGAAATTGAACCGTGATGAAAACTACTAAACCAGCACCAAATCGGGTTGAAAACTACTAAACCTATACTAAATCCAGTTGAAAACATTGAACCAGAATTAAATCAAGATGAAAACCACTAAATCAGCATCAAAACTATGTTGAAAATCACTAACCTAGCACTAAATCGGGTTGAACAACACCAAACTAACTCGAAAAGCGCTAAACCAACACCAAACTAACTCGAAAAGCGCTAAACCAACACTAAATCGAGTTGAAAACATTCAATTGAAATTTAACTGAGATGAAAACCCCTAAACTAGCTCCAAATTGTGCTAGACCCCACTTACCCAAGTATCTTACTCTTATACCAAATTGAAACATGAATAATTGTGTTAGGGTAAAGGAAAGAAAGAGAGGAAGAAAAAAAGTACAAAACAATATTATGTATAGTGTTTGCATTGTCAACACCCTGTCTACTCTTTGTATTACATTAATATTGAAGACAATTACAATGAAAGTGAGATAATTGGAAATTAGAACAATAGAAAAGTAACACTCTAAAGCTTTAGTGGTACATGATTAAATTTTCTTAGTTTAATTTATAGTCAGCTTGGGTAACTTCTTCTGAAGTGCATTCTATTTATAGGTATACCCCTATATCAGATCCAAATGCCAAGGGATATTTTGATCTATTAATCAAGGTATGCATTTCCTAACTAATTGTTTTCATTATTCCCTTGTTCAGTTTAGTTTGGAAAGGTATGCCCTTGATTTCCTGATGCTCTCCTCCTTATGTGAATCACGGTTTCATATGTGAATACAAACTTTTGCAGGTGTATCCAGAAGGGAAGATGAGTCAGCACTTTGCAAGCTTAAAACCAGGCGATGTGGTAGAAGTGAAAGGGTAAAAACCCTTCACCTGACCAATGACCAGATAACGATTCGCTGTGTATCTTCTCAGAGTTAAAAGCTTTTCTTTCCTTTGTCTTTTCGTGCCCCTCTCTTGCAGGCCCATTGAAAAGCTCAGATATACTCCCAATATGAAGAAACACATTGGCATGGTAAGAGCAGTGCATGATACAACTCACGGAAGTCGAAGAAAAAGAAAAACACTAGAAAAATAAAAGACGAATGGTGTTGTTGGCTTTCAAGTAGGTATTTCGGCAAAGATTATGACCCTACAGAGGCCACTTATCTGTGGCAACTACTTATGTTGTGCATTACGTAATAACACCAGAGGTTTTATTTGTTATTTGTAATGGAATCTAGAAATTTTTAAAAATGGCAAGCTTGTAGAACAGCCCTGTCAAAGAAGTATTAGTTTCATACAAGGATCAAAATTTCGTTTCGAAGTACCGTTTCGGTCAATTCAAAAATAGAAACGTTTCGGAAACATTTCGGAAACGCAATGGAAACGCAGAAAAAATATGGAAACGCATAGAAACACAAATGCAATCCATTAATTTATAAAGATATGCTAAATAATTTATTAATTCAACATATTTATTAGGTTAACATCAATTTATACAAGAATAAATTTAAATTTGAGGGAAAAAAAGGCTTGACTTGAGGCGAAAGTCACTTAAATTAGTTTCAAACACTTAATTTTTATGAAATAAACACATTTTTACATAATATTAAGGTCTTATAAGACACATGAAATGCTAATGAGTACATACTTACATGGTTACATCCATTCCCCTGTGGAATGTCGAGCAGGCTCATACATCGGTGTAGGCTCTGGGTAGCTACTTAGAGAAACTCCATATGTGACATAAATATGATGACAATAGTTACTCCAAATCATATTATTACGGTAATATAATCCAATTAATAATACTATTTTATTATAATACTAATAATGAAGGGTATCAAATTAAATTAATGATACTTATGTATACTTAAAAATTAAATGTAATTGCAGTGGGTATTAAATGTAATTACAGTAGGTATTAAATATAATTACATTAGGGTATTAAATGTAATTGTTAATACTTATAACAAAAAAAAAAAGCAAAAAACTTGCACAGCAGTGAGGTATTAAATATAATTACAGTATGTATTAAATATAATTATAATGGGTATTAAATATAATTATAGTAGGGTATTAAGTGTAATTATTTATTCTTATAACAAAAAAATTATAAAAGACAGAAGAGCAGTGGGAATTAAATGTAATTATAGTGGGATATTAAATATAATTATAGTGAGTATTAAATGTAATTACAGTGGGTATTAAATGTAATTATAATTGGGTATTAAATATAATTATTCATAATGAACCGAATATATCACTGTTTTGTCGAAACGGTTCGAAACAATGCCGTTTCGATCGAAACGGTCCGAAACAGTACCGTTTCGACCGAAACACTGGAATTTTGTGATTCAACTACTGTTTCGTTTCGGAGTGTTGAAATTCCGAAACGTTTCGGACGTTTCGGACGTGTCGACACGACATTTTGATCCTTGGTTTCATAATTTGCGCATTCAGTCCGTAGAAAATGACAAGTTTATCTTCACAATTTACACAATGGAAGTGGATTATATTCCCATCTATGCATGAGGTATGGTGAAATATTCTAGAGCACATTGAATATTAGTATGATGTAAAATGTTATCCCACGTAGTTTTGAGATAATGCATTATCACTGAAATTTAATATATCTTTGGATATTTCTCCAAAAAATTGTACATCCCTGAATATATCTATGGATATGTAGCACATATTTCAGCTGCAATTCTCCTTTTCAACCAAACTTCATAGATATAACAGTCTATGAATACTATCTTTCTTTAAATTTCCCAGATAGTCTGTATAAATTCTTGAATCATCTGTTGACCTGTCCCATATACTTGCTGCACTATACTATTGCAATGCTGCACAATATCTAAGCGTTTCAAAAATTCATGTCCCCAGCTTTGTGATGAACAACCTCACCTAATTGTTTTGAGGTCACAAAGTGTATAGCTTGGTGGCTATTTTCTGTGGTGATATAGGGTTCCCCTTTGCTACAGATTGATTAGTTCTTAATCAAAATATACGTTAATTTATGAACAATGTAATTATAGCAAAATGTAACTTAAGTGTGATGAATACGTATGGTCCCCTTCTATCTGATGTGTAAACATGTTGTCATCCAGATTGCTGGTGGCTCAGGCATCACTCCAATGCTTCAGATAATTGATTCTATTCTGAAGAATCCTGATGACAACACCCAGGTAGGCCTATTATCTCAATATCTTTTGAATCCATAGTTTGCAGCTTTTCAAAACATCTTTCCTTGCATCTGCAGATTGCGCTGGCAAACTTAATGCTAGTTGTACCTGACTAGTTTACAAAAAATGTTACGTAAAGTTATGTGCATTGGTAAATGAACATAATGAGATATCTAGGGCATAAATAAGGCATTATTAATCAGATCAATCAAAGAGTCAGTTGCTGTAGTTCGGAATGATAAGCAATTTAGTCAGTTGCTGTTGTCTTGCAATGCATGCAAGTGTGCTATGCCTTCATGATTAGCTTTCATGTTTTCAGGTTTCGTTGCTCTATGCTAATGTATCCCCAGATGACATACTGCTCAAACAGAAGCTTGATGTGCTTGCTGCTAGCCACCCCAATTTGAAGGTTCTGGCTGGGTTAATATGAAAAGGACTGTTGTTTATTCCTATATTTTGAGTTTTCCTCTGACTTAAATTTCTTTTGTTTATGAAAATTTCCAGATATTCTACACCGTAGATAATCCGACAAAGGATTGGAGGGGAGGTGCAGGTTACATATCAAAGGATATGGTTGTGAAAGGATTACCTGGTCCTAGTGATGATACTCTTATTCTTGTAAGATTTCCTCTGCATCTCTGTTGTGATGGCTTTAAAATAGTTCATTAATATATGGCATCAAAGGTAATCTGCATATGTGATAGTTGCAATATGCAACATTCATTCTATATCCACTCTATCGATTCAATTTTCAATGGAAAAGGAAGTAGAAATATTTTGGTTTTTCTCCAATCAGGAGAGAGAGAGAGAGAGAGAGAGAGAGAGAGAGGTCAATGCAAAACATCCTGTCAGCTGAATCTGGTGTCAACAGATCATATGAGAGACCTACTTCAAAGTCTTATACTTGGTAGAATTTCTAGTCTGTTACCTTTACAATTGTCCAATTGACTCTGCGATGCTCGACTCATCATCAACACAATTTGTCAAGAAGCTAGTAAGGGATCACTTAATTATGACGACTATGGACCTATTGGATGGATTTTGATAGAAGAATTAGTAAGGTTATTAGTAAGTTTAGAGTCTGTAAACTTGTATCAAACAATGCTTTGTTATTTGTTGATGAAGATTGGTGAAAGATAAAGGATTGGAAACGTCATTATGGTTGAGCAGATATGGTGTAAAATTCCGCGTGAATGACTTCTGATTATGAGGTCTCTTTCTGATTTTTTTTTTACTTCTCCAGGTATGTGGCCCTCCTGGACTGATGAAACATATATCTGGCGATAAAGCCAACCGCTCACAAGGCGAGGTACGAAAGCACATTCTGTCCTTTACTCCTGATAAGCCATATGCACATTTTCTCAACCTCTAAACCTTCTCCTCCTTATTTGATTTGTTGCAGCTCACTGGTATACTAAAGGATCTTGGGTATACGGAAGAAATGGTATACAAATTTTGATGGAGCGGATCACTTCAATGTGATATTTCGAAATAAATGATTTTTTTTGTAGAACCTTGTACTAACTTCAAGAAACCAAGAGTTTGAATGAGCATAAGAGTGATATTCAAGGATAAACAATTTGTGTGCGTTCTTGTTCTTTTGCACCCCGAATATTTATAATTAAGGGTGTCAAAGTATTACAAGATTCGTTAATATGACATAAACATGATACAAAATTAGAGGGCTTTGGTATTTTTTAAGTCACCGGTTTTACAAACGAGTGGAGTGGATATAACACGACATCATTAATAAATGAAATTGAATTGAACATGGGTGAAGTCAAATAAAAGAAATAAACGTCTTGACTTTTTTATATATTAATTATAGATGATTCATACGCAACATGAATTAATATGATATTACTTGTTAAATACGAATTACCACCGGATGAATTAAGCTTTATCAAGGACATCATCCACCTTCACAGCTTGCTGCAATGGCTGCTTCACTTGGGTAACGCTGATCCTAATTTTTGGCTCACTAACATATGAACATCAAATCATAGCACATCTCAACTAAAACCTTTACTTTGGAAATTCCATACACCGGTGAAGACAACATTTCTGGTGAACACAGGTCATTCTGTTCTTAAAACTCCTTCTCATACTTTCAAACTGAACAATGTCCTACGAGTTCCATCTTTTGCTACCAATTTGCTTTATGTAAAACAATTCTGTTCTGAGAATCATTTTAAATTCATCTTTGGTTCTGATTTATTTGAAATTCAGGACAGCATCACGGGACAAACACTATACAAACGCTAGAGTAGCAATGAACTTTATTCTTCTCATGGTCTCTCTCCATCCCTCTCTACTCTAGTTGCATGTTTTGGCAGTAGGGTTCCAAATCAAGTCTGGCATGACATAACAGGTCATTCTGCAGCTTTAGTTCTTCTACACATTTTAGACAATAACAAACTTTCTTTGTCACAGAAATCTTCTACTTCTTGTATCTGTGTTCATTGTTTGTATGGTAAAATGACAAAGCTTCCCTTTCGTATTTCCCATTATGTATCTTTGTTTCCCTTACAGCTAGTTCATAGTGATGTTTGGGGGCTTTCACCCCATATTTCTATCAATAAATTTCGTTTTTGTATTTCTTTCATCGATGATTGTACTAAATGCACATGGATTTTTTCAGTGACTCATAAATCTAATGTTTTTCTTATCTTCTGTAAATTCAAGGTTTTTGTTGAAAACCAGCTTCCTCATGAAATTTTGGCACTTCAGTCTGGTGGGGGAGGTGAATACACTAGCAGCCACATCCAAACCCTTCTCCCATCGCATGGTATTCATCACAAAAAATCCTATCCTTACAATCCTGAATAGAATAGGACTACAGAAAGAAAGAGCATACATAGTTGAAATAGTTAGACTATTTATATTTTGGGTAGTTTAGACATTTTACATTGTTTTGTTGCCCTACTATATAAGGGTATATATTGTGTATTCTAGGTTAAGCAGTATTACAAACTTGTTTAGTAATAATAATATTTTCTCTTTCTCCTTTCACTCTTCTTTATTTAATTAAAGTTTACATGGTATCAAATCATGGTTTTCGATTCAAAATATATTGTAGCACCACAGTAATTTAGTTGGAAAAAAAATATATTCTTGGATTAGGGTTGACATCATCTATGGTGATTTATTTTTTTGTTATTGTCTTCGACTTTTTGACTTCATATCTAGTCTAAGTAGTGCGACTAAAGATTCTCGGTGTTGGGTTGTGTTATTTGAGGGATAGTCATTGGTGGGTTGTTGAATTTTTATGGTTCTATGGGCTGTGAACAGTGCCAAAAATACTGTTCGCATAGTGAACAGTGCCGAAAATACTGTTCACGCAATGTGAACAGTACCAAAGTTTCTGTTCATGCTGTGAACAGTGTCCCAACTCAATTTTTTGTGGCATTTTTGTTGTATTGTTGTGTAAGAAATCTCAATTTGTTATGAGTATTTGATTTGAAAAACTGTTGAGTTGATTTGTGGTGAACTTTTGATTGTTTGGCGTTGACTGCTTCTTTTGGTTCTAGTTTCTGCTCTTGGGTTCGCTCATATTCTCTTTGGGTATTGTTTGGAGTTTGAGAACAAAACTTTGAGTTTGCACCTATTTTGGACTATTGGGCTTTTGGCTATTTGATTTGGGCATTGTTGCTGGTGATTTTTGTTGGGCAACCTCAATTTTTTGGGTTTGTTGATTTGGGCTGATGCTGATTTGGGCTTCTCTTTGTTGGACTGTTGGTTTGCATTTCTTCTTTCCTTTGTTGGGTATTATTTTGTTGGGCATTGTTGTTGGTGGTTTTTGTTGGACAACCTCAATCCTTTGGGTTTATTGATTTGAGCTAGTGCTGATTTGGGCTTCTCTCGGTTGAGCTGCTAGTTTGACTTTTCTTCTTTTCTTTGTTGGGCATTGTTACTGGTGGTTTTTGTTGGGCAACCCCAATCTTTTGGGTTTGTTGATTTGAACTTCTTTATGTTGGGCTGCTGGTTTGACTTTTCTTCTTTTCTTTGTTGGGCTTTGTTTTATTGGACATTGTTGTTGGTGATTTTTGTTGGGCTTTGATTTTCTGTTGGATCCCTCATTACTATTTTGGGCCTTAATTTGTTGAGCCTACACTTGAATTTTTTGTTGAGTTTATAGTTTTCTTCCTCTAAGTCTCTAGAACTTCGTACTTACTCTGATGTGGACTAGACTGATGACTCTATGGATAGCAGGTGCACTATTGGTTTCTGTCTCTTTCTTGGTAATTCTCTTATTTCGCGGAAAAGTAAGAAATAAATTGTTGTAGCTCGATCATTTGCTGAAACTGAGTCTCATGCTTTGGCCTTCACAACAGCAGATATAGTTTGGTTGCGTTGGTTACTTGCTGACCGTTTCTTTACGAAAATCTCACACCCTCGCGTGCTTTTATTTTTTCTTAGCGAACTCTTGATGTTTGATGTTACCATATCATGAGTTTGAGGGGGAATGTTAGAGTATTTATATTTTGGGTAGTTTATGCATTTTACATTGTTTTGTTGCCCTAATATATAAGGGCTCATATTGTATATTCCAGGTTAAGCAGTATTACAGACTTGTTTAGCAATTATAATATTTTATCTTTCTCCTTTCGCTCTTCTTTATTTGATCAAAGTTTACAGAAACAACTCTAACTTTACTGTCTATAGCTTCTTTACCTCCTATTTTGTGGTTTCAACCATTTACTATTGCCACTTATCTGATTAATCTACTGCCCAGTAAGAACACCTCTCAGAAATCCCTTTTGAATTTCTCTTTCACACCAGACCTAATTATAATCATCTCAAAACCTGTCTTGCTACCTTTTTGCAAACCTGTCTTGCTACCTTTTTGCTTTAGCTTTACAGACGTAATAAATTGGAACCCAAGTCTACAAAATGTGTATTTCTTAGATATCCATTTGATTATAAGGGTTATCTTTACTATGATTATCAGTCCAACAAGATGTATGTTTCTAGGCATGTCTGATGAGACTATATTTCCTTTTGCTACTTCAGCTTCTAAATTTTCTTATTGCCCTTTCACTAATGACATTTGGTATCCATCAGGCATATTCTTTGAACAACAATCTATCATTGGTCATCCTCCTTCACTTTTATCCCCTATTCTATCCTTTTTCTCGATTTCCTTAGCTATTTCTACCATCACAATCCACCACCTCAACATATACTCATTCCAATTCCATAGCAAATTTACTTACTTCTTCTCCAACATTAGCAGATATGTTTCCTTCTGTCTTTGATGTTCGCCCTTCTCCTTTAGATTCATAGTCTTCTGCACCAAATACCTACACTCTCAACACGCACTCT